AAGTAGGTCGGGCTTCCGCCCGCCCCCTCAAGAGCAGGGAAGAGGGACAACCGTTCGACTCTTCAAGTTGGAAGGCGCCTGAGGTTAATTGGGACCTGGGAGTCCAAAGATCCGACTTTCAACGACAGGTTTGTGGTCGCAGACTCGGGGGCGTCCAAGAGGGGGGCGTTCAAGAGGGGGGTTCGCAACTCATGGCCCGAGGCACGTGCGCGGCCCAGGGAGCCCAGGGAACGCGTGAAAGTAAGACGAGGCGCCATGAAATCTGGGGAGGTGTCATGGCCCTGTCCATGATACCCCCACCCCTAATGCTAGAAAGCCCAGGGTTCGCTAGGGAATGGCTTCCCTCCAAAACGACGAAACCCTTCCAAAACCCTCCCGAAGCCATCCGAAGAGCCAGCGAGAACCCTTCCCCGAGGGTTCTCGGAGGGATTCGGGAGGGCTTCGGCTGTTTTGACAAGGAACCAGCCCTTAGCGAACCCTGGACTTTCTAACCCTGACGTCATCAGCCCCCTCCTGTCGGCACCCGACACTGTAACCCTGGCTCTGCAGGACCCTGCAAGAGCCCGCGCTCTGCCTGATCCCCCGCTCGCACCGACCCCCGTCGCGAAGCTCCCGGTCCTGCCCCTCGCCGTCGCTCGGACGTCCATCCCCCAATGTCGAAAAAGACCCAAGGGCCTTTGGGGTCGTTTTCGAAAGATGGCCCAACATGAGGAGGGACCAACAACGGCATAAACATAAACGAGAGGTTCTGTTTATGCCGCTTCAGGTTCTTCGAAAAATCCTCCTCGAGGGCCCTTGCCGAGAGAAGCTGCACGCGCCCGAGCGATGCGGGGGCGGCCCGGGTCCTGGACCACGCTGCACGCGCCCCCGCGCGAGCGCCCGGCCGCCTCCGGCTGCCGGCGGACGCCCTCGAGAGAAGGCCGCTCGGCCTCGAGGCCCGGGAGCGGCCCCTCCTCCGCCGCGCAGCGGGGCGCCTCCTGGAGGGGTCAGCGCTGGGCTGGCGCCTCGGTGTTGGAGGCTGGAGGTTCGGGGCTGGAGGTCCTCGGACGCTCGCGTCGGTGCCCCCCGGCTTCCCAGCCTCGGGGTGCCCTCCAGCGACTGCGCCTCGCCGGGGGCGTGGCGTTCCGCGGGTGCCCAGACCGTCCCGAACGGCCGCTGGAGGCCCAGGCCATGGCCCGAAAACCACCAGGGGACCAGCTCAGGGGGGGAACATCGAGCTTGCATCGGCGTCTTCGCAGCCTCCCCCCGAAGACACAGAAAGAAGCTTCTCAGTGGAAGGCGCGGGGGCTTCCGAGAGGGCCCGCCGCCCTGTGCGAAGGCCTCCTCCTGCTGATTTCCCCCCCCCCTCGCTCGCCGCCGAAGTATGTGGACGTGTTACTTGTGTGTCTGTCTTCGCTGACTTTAGCGAAGCTCGCCACCGTGCCAGCGCAGCAGCAGGAATGCTCTTGAGCTTAAAGCTTGGTCCAATTCAGTGCCCTGATTGAGATGGCGCGGGTTTTGAGCGCCCCATCCCTGTCCGCAGCCTCGTGCTGTTCAGATTGTCCTCCATCCTCACTGTTCTCCTCCTCCTCCTCCTCCTCCTCCTCCTCCTCCTCCTCCTCCTCCTCCTCCTCCTTGCACCTTTGAGGCCCAAGGGGGGCCGCTGAGGGCAGCGCACTTCCAGTGGGCGCAGCTGCCCCGAGCCTGGCACGCCCGTGGCGCGACTGGCGCGCGACCGCACCACGGCGGGAGCCGTCTGCACCGAGGTGGACGACGAGCGCGGCGGAGCCCAGCCAGGATGCTGGAGGAAAGAGAGCTCTGCACAGACACCGATTCTGGCCAGGCCCATCCTGAGCCCAGGATCGGTGCGTACGCCCTCCTACCTTGGCTAGGAAGGTATATGCACCGATCTGGGGTCAAGGATGGGCCTTGCCAGGATCGGTGCATGTGCATAGTTCCCTTCGCCCGGTATGTGTTGGACTTCGTGGAGGCGGCCACTTCGGCGGCGGTCTCAGCGGCGGGGGCGGCGGCTGTGGCGGCAGTCCAGCCGGCTCCTGCAAAAGCGAGGCCGCGGCCATCCCTCGCGCCGATGCTGGCCCTGGCCATCGAGAACGGCGTGATGGAGCCGGCGGCGCCACCATCTCCACCGCCTGGTCAGTGGACACTGGTGGCACCTCCGCTGTTGGCGCAGCTTCGCAGCAGGAGCCAGTCAGCGGCGGAGAACGTGGAGCAGCAAGAGGCAGCCCGGAGCAGATGGAGATGCCGACGCAGTGGATCGGCGCGAACTCCACGAGCCCCGAGTTGCCGCAGGACAAGAGCAAGAAGGAGAAGAAGGAGAAGAACAAGTTCAAGCGGGAGGCAAAGAAGGCCAAGAAGGCGGAGCGGGATTACAGGAGGCGGAGCCGTTCTCGCTCCAGCCATCCAGTGGACTGAAGGCTGAGGACCTCCTCGACATCTACAGCGACGATGGACACGAGGACTACCATGATGGCGACGACGCGGCCGACGGCTGGGCGTGCTGGCATCGTGGCAAGCTTCCCGAGGACCCCTTCACGGACGTGCGTAGGCTGAACATGGAGGCCCTCGCGAAGACGGAGCGTGCGCGGGAGACTCGCCTCTCCCTATGGCGGCTGAAGGCGGACATGCTTGTCGGCGTCATCGGCCCCAACAAGGAGGTGTTCCTCGACTCCGTCGGCGGCGGCGGCATCGGCAGCACGTTCGAGAAGGACTACAAGGAGTACGAGTTCGAGGGCGACAACGGGCACTTCAAGGAGCTGACCGTGGCCCCCGATAGGGATGACATCCTCGTGGAGCTGGCGGCGGTGCCGCCGTTCCCCATGCTCGAGAGCGGATACTAGGACTCCGAGGTGCAGGCCGCGAGCGCGGAGACGGAGCAATTCGTGGAGGCGGACGAGAGCGACGAGGATCTCCATGCTCGTCAAGTCCCTGTTCGAGGAGTGCAAGGAAGCGGTCGTGGCCAAGGGCGTCGGCTGCACGAGCTTCCTGGATCGGCTGCACGCGCAGCCCGAGTACCTGGGCGCGCCGAAGGCCCTCCTTGATGGCAGTAGTTGACCTCGTGGTCTGAGGGGCAACCAACCTGGGGCCGTCAGACCACACAGGGAATTTTGCCTTGTGTCGTGCGGCTCGAGGTGCAGGAAGTCTGAGGGGAAAGTCGAGGTGGGGGTGGCTTCTGACTGCAGGCCTAGGCCGTCCTCTCCTGGTCCCCTTGGGCCCTGGGGGGCGCGTTCCCTGGGGCTGGGGCGCCCGCCACCCTCCTGGTGGCGGGCTGGTTTTCGGCGCGTTCTCTGCGCCCTGCAGTCGGGAATCGGCCTCGCCTTGACTGCCCTCCGCGCCGGCCGTGGCGAGCAGGTCTTCGGGACCTTCGGGTAGTCTCCAGTCTCCAGCCTCCTCCTCCTCCTCCTCCTCCTCCTCCTCCTCCTCCTCCTCCTCCTCTCCCCCTCCGCCTCCGCCTCCTCGTCCTCCTCCTCCTCCTCCTCCTCCTCCTCCTCCTCCTCCTCCTCTCCTCCTCCCTCCTCCTCCTCCTCCGCCTCCTCCGCCTCCTCCGCCTCTCCCGCTCCTCCGCCGCCTCCGCCGCCTCCGCTCCGCCTCCGCCTCCGCTCCGCCTCCGCCTCCGCCTCCGCCTCCGCCTCCGCCTCCGCCTCCGCCTCCGCCTTCCTCCTCCTCCTCCTCCTCCTCCTCCTCCTCCTCCTCCTCCTCCTCCTCCTCCTCCTCCTATCCTCCTCCTCCTCCGCCCTCCGCCTCCTCCGCCTCCTCCGCCTCCTCCTCCTCCTCCTCCTCCTCCTCCTCCTCTCCTCCTCCTCCTCCTCCTCCTCCTCCTCTCCTCCTCCTCCTCCTCCGCCTCCGCCTCCGCCTCCGCCTCCGCCTCCGCCTCCCGCCTCCGCCTCCTCCTCCTCCTCCTCCTCCTCCTCCTCCTCCTCCTCCTCCTCCTCCTCCTCCTCCTCCATCCTCCTCCTCCGCCTCCTCCGCCTCCTCCGCCTCCTCCGCTCCGCCGCCTCCGCCTCCTCCGCCTCCGCCTCCGCCGCCTCCGCCTCCGCCTCCGCCTCCGCCTCCGCCCTCCTCCTCCCCCTCCTCCTCCTCCTCCTCCTCCTCCCTCCTCCTCCTCCTCCTCCTCCTCCTCCTCCTCCCTCCTCCTCTCCTCCCTCCCTCCTCCTCCTCCTCCTCCTCCTCCTCCTCCTCCTCCTCCTCCTCCTCCTCCTCCTCCTCCTCCTCCTCCTCCTCCTCCTCCTCCTCCTCCTCCTCCTCCTCCTCCTCGCTCGCCGCCGATCCGCTGACCCCGATTCCTGCAGCGCCAGGGTGGCCTCCCGCTCCCGCCGATCGCCGTCTGGCTGCGCCCCGCCCGCGCCGGGCTGCCGCCGCTCGGTCGCGCGGTGCGCCGCCTCCTCCGAGGGCAGGCCGGGGCGGACGATAGGGGCAGACATACCGACGCATCAGGCGTCTCGAAAAAATCGAGGCGGAGGTTTTTTGTCGTTTTCGGCCTCTCGGGGCCCTCGCTGGGCCTCGGGACCGTCAGAAAACGACTCGGGATGAAAGACCGGTCCCGGGGAACAGGTCGGGAGGTCGGGGGCCCGTGTCTCGAAAAAATCGAAACGTCGGATGTCTGGGTAAGCAGAAAGCGTCTATACACCACCGCAGTGCAAGGCCAGGGGCATCCTGGCCCAGGCATGGTATATACACGCCCTCCTGGCCGAGGCTAGGAGGGTCTATGTCAATACACCATCCTAGGGCCCAGGATGGCTCTGGCCTGGCACGGTGGTGGTGTATAGACGCCTTCGTCGGAGTACAGACCCAGGAACCTCGTCGAAGACATGGGCGACCGGAGGTTCTGGATACATGTGCAGTGAAGCCGCACAGCAAGGATGAGCAGCTTTCCAAGGGGTTACCCGTGCATCCTTCCCCTCCAGCCCATCCTTGGCCGCTTTCGCTGGCCGCGCCCCGCTCGGAAAGTGTCGACATGGCCGTCCAAGGCCCTTGCATCCTTATCGCGCGTCCATATTAGACGGGTTGACTGTACTGGTCTCCCCTGGGCGGTTCGCCCCTGTCGTCGCCTCCGAACAGGGTCGCTTCCAGCACCCTGCGGCCGTCCTGCAGGTGCCGCCTGTCCACCTCGAGGCCGTGGACCACCCGCCGTGCGTCGAGGAGCTCCGCCTGCGACGCGCGATGGGCGTCGTCCTGCAGCGAAGCGGCCGCGTGCAGCTCCTGGCAGTCGGCTCGCAGGCCAACGTTCTCTTCTTCGAGGCCCTGGAGCACCTGCTGTGCCTGGACGAGCTCCTGCTGCAGGGCCCGCAGTGCATCCTCCCTCGAGGCCAGGGCAGCCTGGAGCTCGCCCTGGCTACCCTGGAGCTCCTGCTTGTCGGACTCGAGGCCCCGGAGTGCCAGCTGCGCCTGCAGGGTGGCGCCAGCGGTACGCCCGCACCGACCCTGGCCAGGCCCATCCCAAGCCCAGGGCTGGCGCACCCGTCGGTCGGAAGAAGTGGGTAGAGACACAAAGCAGGAAGGCTTTGGAAGTAGATTGGTCTTCCGCCCGCCCCCTGCAGAGGAGGAAAGCGGGAAGACCACTCCACTCTTGAAGTAGGAAGGCACCCGAAGTGCCCAAAGTTGACTGGGATCTGGGAATCCAAAAAAATACCCACTTTCAACGACCGGCGTGCACGTGCTCGCGCCTGGCTTGGCCAGGAAGGCATGCGCACAGACCCTGGGCCCAGAGGGCTGGCCCGGCCAGGACCGGCGAGGAGCGCACAGCTCGCGCCCACCGAGCCTCCGATGCTCGCTCGGGGGACCTTCCCGGAGCCGCTCGCTCCGCTCGTGCGTCGACGCTGCCTCGAACGTCCGCTGACCCGAGTCGAACCTGCGTCGGACTTGAGCCGAGCCAGCGTCGAACCGGAGTCGAGGCAGAGCCGAACAGACCCGCCAGGCGGGCCCCGGAGGAAGGTCCCGGGAACGAGCCTCCGACCACGCCTGCAGGAGGCCTCCCCGTGCCGCTCGCTGCGCGGCCTCCTCCGTGGCAAGGGCCGCCTGCAGCGCGCCTCGATCGCTCTGGGGCGACTGCGCCTTCGAGTAGGGGATCGACTGCAGAATCGATTTGTACCCCAAAGTGGCTTCTCCGTCGAGTCTACGGAAAGTGCGTCGAACGCTCCGTAGATCCATCGAGCATGCAACATCTACTCTTCGTGGACTCGGCGGAAAAATCCACGCTGGGGTGAATCAAAATTCTGCAGTCGATTTCTTACTCGACGCCTCCGACTCGAGGTCCCGGAGCGCCTGCCGCACCTGCAGGAGCTCCTCCTGTGCGGTGCGCCGGGCGCCCCTGGGGCGCCACCCGCGTGTGAGGCCTCCCCTTAGGTCGGGCATGTCCCCCCTACAGGCGGACTTTGGAGGAATATCTCAAAATCTTGAAAAAATACCGACCAAATACTGAAAAATACCCCCCAAATCGTCAAATAGTAATGAAAAGCCAACAAAAACAAACAAACAAACAAACAAACAAACAAACAAACAAACAAACAAACAAACAAACAAACAAACAAACAAAGAAGTCCCCAGACTATTTTTTCCAATTTGTAATATTCCCCCTGTAGAGGGACAGGCCCGACTGAGGCCTCCCCCCTCCTCGGGGGCGTCCCACGGGGGGGGGGGGCGTGCAGGGGGGGCGCGCTTGCCAGTCGTGGCCCGAGGCAGGTGCGCGGCCCAGGGGTCAACTGGGTCGGGCATGTTCTCCTACAGGCGGATTTTGGACAGACAATTATAGCAAAAAAACCCTCAAAGATAGTCCAAAAATCATCGCAGACCCGCCCCCTGACTATTTGTGGACCATTTCTGAATATTCCTCTCCTGCAGACGGACATGCCCGGATCAACCCAGGGGGGGGGGGGGGGGGCAAGGGACGTGCTGAACCGGGGGGGAACGGGAGATCTGGCACAGAAATCATGGCCCCAGGCACGTGCGCGACCCAGGGAGGGGGGGCAGGGAACGCTCTGAGAGAAGATCGGGGGGAACGAAAGGGGGGAATGGCAAAGGGTCGGGTAGAGAACCAGCTCACGTAGCTGATTTTTCCAGCGCCTCCCGGCGCCGGGAGGCGCCCATGTATCGAGGAATGGGCCAGGCGGCGGGGCCGAAACCGCGCATTCGGCTACTTGCAAAGTCACTACTCGCAAAGGGCCTGGATCCGCCGTGGGGGATTTACGATACATTACATCGAGGCGAACGTGGGTTCTTTTTAAGACGTCTGCGGCGAGAGAAGAAGTGGGGTCCGTGAGATCTGAGGAGATGTCACTAGGGGGACAAAGGATGACATAAACATAAAAACTCGGAGGTCCGCGCGGATTTCTCGGATCCGCGCTGGACCCCCAGCGACGCCTCCGGCGCCGCCCCTGGCGCGCTCCGCGCGCCAGGCAGGGGGGTCCAGCGCGGATCCAAGAAATCCGCGCGGACCTCCGAGTTGTTATGTTTATGTCATTTTTTCGTTCCCCTAATCATGGCCCTGGCCATGATATCCACCCCCCATTCGCTCGGCGACTCCGAAGGGTGTGGTTTGCAGAGGGTGTGGCTTGTGCAACTGGCGCCCTGGGGGATTCCCTGGGGGGCGAGCAGGGACCTCGACGGAGTTCTCCGCCGAACCCCGAGGCGGCCCGACGAGCACAGGGTCGTGCCCCCAGGAACCCCCAACAGCGCCGATCGCAAACCACACCCCGGTGCAACCCACGCCAGGAACCACCGTCAACGTCGCTACGACAAGAACCAGTCGTAGGGGAGCAAGGGAGGAGACACTAGTCAAGGTACTCATTCTCCTCATCTACTGCCGTCCCTTCCTCTCCCCCACATCTACGCTGGTCATCACCCACCTCTAAGCTGGTTTCTGACGTACTCTTTGTAGTCGACGCCTGGTCATCACCTCCCTCTTGGCCGCACCTGACCTTCCCCTTGAGCCCTGCTGGGGCAGAAGCGGCCAGCATCTGATGGGAGATCGGATCGGATCGGAAGGTGGGCCGAAGCCCCAGAAGTCCCCGAGAGGCCTCCAAGGCGGCACCGCACGCTCCAGGGGCCCCGAAGAGGACCTCCAAACAGCGAAATTCTGTCGCCCACCGACCGGACGCGATGGAAGCTTCGTCCGGGCATGCCCCCCACGAAGCGGAATGTATCTGGTGCGCGCGCTCGCGGGACGACAGGGTCGCCTCCAGCTCCCTGCGGCCTCCCTGGAGCTCGCGCCTGTCGGCCTCGACATCTTCCAGGGCATGCCGCGCCCGCGCCAGCTCCTCCTGCGCGGCGCAGTGCGCCGCCTCCTTCTCGGCCAGGGTCGCCTGGAGCACCTGGCGGCTGTCCTCGAGCGTCCGCTTGTCCGCCTCGAGGCTATGGACCACCTGCCGCGCGTCGAAGAGCTCCTCTTGCGCTCTGTGATGGGCGACCTCCTTCAATGACGCAGCCGCGTGCAGCTCCTGGCGATGCGGGAGGCGGTGTATGGGTTCTTGTTCTACGTTTTCAAGTTGGGAACCCCGATGGCACGACAGCTAAAACTACGTATATGCAATCACACGAATAAGACTGATAATTGATGGGAAATTACACGCACAGCGATCAGCATGCCCCCATGTACCTATTCGTCGAAGTAAGACTATGATGTTCACGCTAGCCATAACCATAACTCGAACTAGACCTGTTGCTGATGCATCGCTACTATTTGGACATCTTCGAAGAACCTATGATTCGCCGGAAGGCATATTACTTACGGTTGTCGGTGTCGTACGCATTGGCCCAGGACCGAAAACAAACACCCAGCCGCGATCGGGCCTGTAGCACTCTCCAGAGATATCCCAAGGGGTGGCATGCCGCGTTCATATAAAAATGCGTTCTTAACCAGAACCTGGCCCGCCTCCGAGGGGGTCATGAATGTCCGGGGTGCGGGCATTGTAGTATGATATAAAACTGTAACCAATGCAGTCGCCGCAATCACGCATTGCAGGCATTGATAATGTGGCCTGTCTGTAAACATAAAACCAAAAACATAACCTGCGCAACCCCTAAGAACAAATTGAACTGGTAAGGGGGGATCACAACAATGCGTGAAAGAGTGGGACCATAACAGTAAGTTCACCCGCGTGTGGTGCTATTGCTGTAAAACAAACTAGCACTGCTGGCTGCAATAACACTAGAACTGCGAGCATCAACCTTACAATCCGCCACCGTTTTGCTGGGCACGGAGTGGGCGTGTCCTCAGGTCCTTCGCCTAATCCTCTAAGCCTCAGTCCTTAATCCTGAGGAGTCTTTACGGGGCCTGGAGAACAAATGGTCAAATCTCCATGGGCTCCTGGCGGCTTGTCGCGTTACTTTGTCGGGCCCAAGAGGGGCCCCAAAGAGGGTCCCAAGGGACCCCGAAGACGGTCCAAGAGGGTCCCGAGTCGCCGAAAGATCGCTCCAAGACGATCAAGATGGCCGCCAGACGGCCCCAAAGGCCTCCAAGACGCCCCAAGAGGCATCCAAGAGGCCTCCCAACAGGGCCCCAAGAAGCCACCAAAAATCATTGATCTTCCATCGATTTTTGTTGGTTTTTGATTCTCGCCGTTTTGGCTCCCCGACGCTCCCAGACGGCCCCAGAGGCCCCCAAGATCGCCCCAAGATGACAAAAGAGGCCTCCAAGTTCCAAAACGGCCCAAGAGGGCCCCAAGACGGCCCAAAAGGAGAGGCCTGCCCGCAAGAAGCCGCAAGAGGCCCCCAAGAGGCTCCCCAGAGGCCCCAAAACTACACGGAAGAAGAGGCCCCCGAAGGCGCTCCGAAGAGACCCCAGGAAGAATCCCTGAGAACTCTGACCCACAAGCCGGGCACCGTGGCGGGATGGGCCCAAGACCATTAGATAATCATGACGCAAGCATGTACTAGTGCGTTGCAGTGTTCCACAGGTATACGCGCAAGAACGCCAAAATACACGACGAATCGACAGATTGCTGGTTTACACGTCGCAAATACCGACCTCACCAGAACTGCCACCGATACCATGGCACCAGCCCGGCGAATGTGATAGTGTCCGGTACGGCACGAAGTGGAGTGCCCCGAGGCTCGTGCAGCACTGAGAGCTGCTGCTGCAGCCAGGACTGCAAATGTCTAGGATCCGGACCTGCCGTTTCCCGGGCCGGCCCGGGATCTGCCGGTATCGCTCGCGTCGGCCGACCCCGCCCAGCAGGGCCCGCTCCAAGATCGGTCCAAGATGCCCAAGATGACCTCGAGATGGCCCAAGAGGCCTCCAAGACGCCACAAGAGGCCTCCAAGAGGCCTACCAAGAGGGCCCCAAGAGGCAAAAATCACTGATGCTCCCACGGGTTTTGAAGGATTTGGGCCTCCTCGCCTGTTCGGCTTTCCGACGCTCCAAGACGACCCAAGAGGGACGGCCCAAGAGGCCTCCAAGAGGGCCCCAAGACGGCCTAAGAGCACCCCAAGACGGCCCAAGAGGCGTCCAATACAGCCCAAGAGGGTCGCCCAAGAGGCCCCCAGGAGGCCGCAAGAGGCGCCCAAGAGGGCCCCAAGAGGCCCCCAGGAGGCCCCCAGGAGGCCCCAAGAGGCCGCCAAGAGGCCCAACAGAGGCCCCAAGAGGCCCCAAAACGGCCCCCCAGAGGCCTCACATCTACCTCCAAGAGGCCCATCCAAAATGTTTTATTCCCACAACCCAGGCACGGTGGCAGGATGGGTTGAAGGCCATTATAGCAACTAGAGGCACAACCATAACCTCAACTGCTTTCAGAGGTACAAGTATTGAGAACAGAACTGATAACTCCAGGGCAACAATACCCCCGACCGTCGTTGCGGTTTATCTTGAAAATGCACATCACTGAAGACAATCAAACGGTAGGAAAATAACGATAATATGTATCCGACCCATACTGCTCCTGACAGTCGCCCCGCAGACCTCGATTCTCTTCTTGGAGGCTATGTAGCACGTGCTGCGCCTGGGACAGCTCCTGCTGCACCGTATGGACGGCATACTCCTTGGAGGCCAGTGTTGCCTGAAGCTCGCCATGGCCACCCTGGAGCTTCTGATGGTCAGACTCGAGGCCTCGAAGCGTCCGCTGCGCCTGCTGGAGCTCTTCCTGCGCCTTCCGCCGCGCGGCCTCCTCTGCGGCCAGGACCGCCTTCAGCTTCCCGTGGTCGCTCTGGACCAGCTGCGTCTCCGACTCGAGATCCCTGAGCGCCTGCCGCGCGTGCAGCAGCTCCTCCTGCGCAGTCTGGTGCGCGCGCTCGCGGGACGACAGGGTCGCCTCCAGCTCCCTGCGGCCTCCCTGGAGCTCGCGCCTGTCGGCCTCGACGTCTTCCAGGGCGTGCCGCGCCCGCGCCAGCTCCTCCTGCGCGGCGCAGTGCGCCGCCTCCTTCTCGGCCAGGGTCGCCTGGAGCACCTGGCGGCTGTCCTCGAGCGTCCGCTTGTCCGCCTCGAGGCTATGGACCACCTGCCGCGCGTCGAAGAGCTCCTCTTGCGCTCTGTGATGGGCGACCTCCTTCAGTGACGCAGCCGCGTGCAGCTCCTGGCGAGACGGGAGGCGGTGTATGGGTTATTGTTCTACGTATTCAAGTTAGGAACCCCGATGGCACGACAGCTAGAACTACGTATATACAATCACACCTATTAGACTGATAATTGATGGGTAACTACACGCACAGCGATCGGCATGCCCCCATCAACCTATTCGTCGAAGTAAGACTATGATGTTCACGCTAGCCATAACCATAACTCGAACTAGACCTGTTGCTGATGCATCGCTACTATTGGGGCATCTTCGAAGAACCTATGATTAGCCGGAAAGCATATTACTTACGGTTGTCGGTGTCGTACGCATTGGCCCAGGACCGAAAACAAACACCCAGCCGCGATCGGGCCTGTAGCACTCTCCAGAGATATCCCAAGGGGTGGCATGCCGCGTTCATATGAAAATGCGTCCTTAACCAGAACCTGGCCCGCCTCCGAGGGGGTCATGAATGGCCGAGGTGCGGGCATTGTAGTATGATATAAGACTGTAACCAATGCAGTCGCCGCAATCACGCATTGAAGGCATTGATAATGTGGTCTGTCTGTAAACATAAAACCAAAAACATAACCTGCGCAACCCCTAGGAACAAATTGAACTGGCAAGGGGAGATCACAACAATGCGTGAAAGAATGGAACCGTAACAGTAAATTCACCCGCGTGTTTTGTTATTGCTATTAAACAAACTAGCGCTGCTGGCTGCAATAACACTAGAACTGCGAGCATCAACCTTACAATCCGCCACCGTTCTGCTGGGCACGGAGTGGGCGTGTCCTCAGGTCCTTCGCCTAATCCTCTAAGCCTCAGTCCTTACTCCTGAGGAGTCTTTACGGGGCCTGGAGAACAAATGGTCAAATCTCCATGGGCTCCTGGCGGCTTGTCGCGTTACTTTTTCGGGCCCAAGAGGGGCCCCAAAGAGGGTCCCAAGGGACCCCGAAGACGGTCCAAGAGGGTCCCGAGTCGCCGAAAGATCGCTCCAAGACGATCAAGATGGCCGCCAGACGGCCCCAAAGGCCTCCAAGACGCCCCAAGAGGCATCCAAGAGGCCTCCCAACAGGGCCCCAAGAAGCCACCAAAAATCATTGATCTTCCATCGATTTTTGTTGGTTTTTGATTCTCGCCGTTTTGGCTCCCCGACGCTCCCAGACGGCCCCAGAGGCCCCCAAGATCGCCCCAAGACGACAAAAGAGGCCTCCAAGTTCCAAAACGGCCCAAGAGGGCCCCAAGACGGCCCAAAAGGAGAGGCCTGCCCGCAAGAAGCCGCAAGAGGCCCCCAAGAGGCCCCCCAGAGGCCCCAAAACTACACAGAAGAGGCCCCCGAAGGCGCTCCGAAGAGACCCCAGGAAGAATCCCTGAGAACTCTGACCCACAAGCCGGGCACCGTGGCGGGATGGGCCCAAGACCATTAGATAATCATGACGCAAGCATGTACTAGTGCGTTGCAGTGTTCCACAGGTATACGCGCAAGAACGCCAAAATACACGACGAATCGACAGATTGCTGGTTTACACGTCGCAAATACCGACCTCACCAGAACTGCCACCGATACCATGGCACCAGCCCGGCGAATGTGATAGTGTCCGGTACGCCACGAAGTGGAGTGCCCCGAGGCTCGTGCAGCACTGAGAGCTGCTGCTGCAGCCAGGACTGCAAATGTCTAGGATCCGGACCTGCCGTTTCCCGGGCCGGCCCGGGATCTGCCGGTATCGCTCGCGTCGGCCGACCCCGCCCAGCAGGGCCCGCTCCAAGATCGGTCCAAGATGCCCAAGATGACCTCGAGATGGCCCAAGAGGCCTCCAAGACGCCACAAGAGGCCTCCAAGAGGCCTACCAAGAGGGCCCCAAGAGGCAAAAATCACTGATGCTCCCACGGGTTTTGAAGGATTTGGGCCTCCTCGCCTGTTCGGCTTTCCGACGCTCCAAGACGACCCAAGAGGGACGGCCCAAGAGGCCTCCAAGAGGGCCCCAAGACGGCCTAAGAGCACCCCAAGACGGCCCAAGAGGCGTCCAATACAGCCCAAGAGGGTCGCCCAAGAGGCCCCCAGGAGGCCGCAAGAGGCGCCCAAGAGGCCCCCAGGAGGCCCCCAGGAGGCCCCCAGGAGGCCCCAAGAGGCCGCCAAGAGGCCCAACAGAGGCCCCTAGAGGCCCCAAAACGGCCCCCCAGAGGCCTCACATCTACCTCCAAGAGGCCCATCCAAAATGTTTTATTCCCACAACCCAGGCACGGTGGCAGGATGGGTTGAAGGCCATTATAGCAACTAGAGGCACAACCATAACCTCAACTGCTTTCAGAGGTACAAGTATTGAGAACAGAACTGATAATTCCAGGGCAACAATACCCCCGACCGTCGTTGCGGCTTATCTTGAAAATGCACATCACTGAAGACAATCAAACGGTAGGAAAATAACGATAATATGTATCCGACCCATACTGCTCCTGACAGTCGCCCCGCAGACCTCGATTCTCTTCTTGGAGGCTATGTAGCACGTGCTGCGCCTGGGACAGCTCCTGCTGCACCCTATGGACGGCATGCTCCTTGGAGGCCAGTGTTGCCTGAAGCTCGCCATGGCCACCCTGGAGATTCTGATGGTCAGACTCGAGGCCTCGAAGCGTCCGCTGCGCCTGCTGGAGCTCTTCCTGCGCCTTCCGCCGCGCGGCCTCCTCTGCGGCCAGGACCGCCTTCAGCTTCCCGTGGTCGCTCTGGACCAGCTGCGTCTCCGACTCGAGATCCCTGAGCGCCTGCCGCGCGTGCAGCAGCTCCTCCTGGGCAATCTGATGCGCGCGCTCGCGGGACGACAGGGTCGCCTCCAGCTCCCTGCGGCCTCCCTGGAGCTTGCGCCTGTCGGCCTCGACGTCTTCCAGGGCGTGCCGCGCCCGCGCCAGCTCCTCCTGCGCAGCGCAGTGCGCCGCCTCCTTCTCGGCCAGGGTCGCCTGGAGCACCTGACGGCTGTCCTCGAGCGTCCGCTTGTCCGCCTCGAGGCTATGGACCACCTGCCGCGCGTCGAAGAGCTCCTCTTGCGCTCTGTGATGGGCGACCTCCTTCAATGACGCAGCCGCGTGCAGCTCCTGGCAGTCGCCTCGCAGATCTTGATTCTCCACTTGGAGGCCCTGCAGCATCTGCTGCGCCTGAACGAGCTCCTGCTGCACCGTATGGACGGCATACTCCTTGGAGGCTAGAATTCCCTTAAGCTCGCCATGGCCACCCTGGAGCTTCTGATGGTCAGATTCGAGGCTTCGAAGCGCTAGCTGCGCCTGCTGGAGCTCTTCCTGCGCCTTCCGCCGCGCGGCCTCCTCTGCGGCCAGGACCGCCTTCAGCTTCCCGTGGTCGCTCTGGACCAGCTGCGTCTCCGACTCGAGATCCCTGAGCGCCTGCCGCGCGTGCAGCAGCTCCTCCTGCGCAGTCTGGTGCGCGCGCTCGCGGGACGACAGGGTCGCCTCCAGCTCCCTGCGGCCTCCCTGGAGCTCGCGCCTGTCGGCCTCGACGTCTTCCAGGGCGTGCCGCGCCCGCGCCAGCTCCTCCTGCGCGGCGCAGTGCGCCGCCTCCTTCTCGGCCAGGGTCGCCTGGAGCACCTGACGGCTGTCCTCGAGCGTCCGCTGCTCTTCCTCGAGGCTGCGGATCGCTCGCCTCGCCTGAAGGAGCTCCTCCTGCTGCCTGTGGCACGCACCCTCGTGCGTTCCCGCAGTCGCTCGCAGCGCCTGATGCGAGTGCTGAAGCCTCTGGTTCTCCGCTTCGAGACCCTCGAGCGCCTGCTGCGACTGGAGAAGCTCCCCGTGTGCAGCCTGACGAGCCTCCTCCTTGGAGGCCAACTGGGCGTGCAAGTCGGCATGGCCGCTGATGAGCCGCTGATTGTCTGCTTGCAGACTGTGGAGCCCCTGCTGCACCGCCCCGATGGCCAGCTCGGCCTCCCTCTGCCGGGCCTCCGCGTCCGCTCTGCGCCGCTCGCTTCGACGAAGCGACACCTGCAGCTCGTTCACGCGCTGGTGCAACCCGTGGACCCTGCCCTCCAGCTCCAGCCTCTGGCTCTCCCCGGCCTCGCCGGCACTCCTGCACGTGGCTACCTCGCTGCTGAGCGCCTGACCATGGGCCCTCGCCTGCAATCCGCCGCCGTACCTGCACGACAAGGGAGTGTTAGACTGCATGCTGGCTGTCTGGCAAGGACTGTCTACCTTTCCCAGTCCCCCCTCCCCCCCTCGCATCTGGTACCGGACCCAGGTGAATTATCGTTCCCCCGAGTTTCGTTCCTCGGCGCACTTTTCGGCCTCAACATGGCCCAAGACCGCCCCAAGACGATTGCAAGATGTCCCAAGATCAACCAAGACGGCCCAACGACATCTTCTAGCAGGCACGATGATGTCACCTGGAGGCTCCAAGATGCCACAGGATGGCCCGAAGGGACGCCCGAAGAGGGCCTCCTGTGAGGCCCACAGAGACCAAAACAATGCAAAAATCTATCCGCGTGAGTTAGGGGATGACGGCCTCCTATCTGAGACAGTTTGAAAATATGTCCGATTTCTTGTGGCAACCCTGGGCCCTTCTCTTTAGGCACGCCAGCCCGAAGGAAAGCTAGCAATGTCGTAGCTACCCTTTGACTCATTCGCGGATAGGGAGGGAGGGGGGAGATTCCACCAGGGGGGAGGGGGACCAGAGGTGCTGAAGGGTGTCCTGGGCGGGTTCCCCGGGGGGTCCCGAGAGGGAGGGAGCGCGCGACATGGTCGAATCCCCAACGACTCGTACGGCACCCATCTGATCGGTAGAACAGAAAGCCCAGTTCGTAGCAATCCCAACCCGACAAATCGTCTCACAGTGCAATTCACAAAATATGCAAAAAAACATAAACGTCATTATACCGATAGGACCACCCTACGGGTGATAAGGAGGTTGGGGGGGAAGGGGGGAGCGGTCGATTTGCGATGGCTCGGGGTTCTTTGGTGGTTTCTTCAATATTCCTTTTGTCTCGCACATATGCCCATCTACATATCGACCTAAATATCTAATCATCGATTTAGATTTTGTCACTACAGCTAACTTCCTTTCACCCACCAGCACTGAATCGGTCTACCTAATCGAGCAACCAACTACCATTCACCATGTCCACTGGCTACCAACGATCTAAATCCAACTATTATATATATATACATGTGTGCCGCTACTACGGTTTATAAACTTAAACAATGCGATCTATATATGCACTACCCATGTACGATTCACTATCTTATTTCTAACCCAATATCTGTACACATATAAACCGATTCACGTATCTACGTATCCACCTATCTACCTATATGTAACTACCTACATGCCGATATATCTATAAATGTATATATATGGATGTACCTATATATCTGTGTATCGTGCGTTCAACCACAAGGACAATCATCGGGGAAATCATCAGGACAACCATCGGGACAACCATCGGGGCAACCATCGGGGCAACCATCGGGACAACCATCGGGACGACAACCAAAACCATCGGGATAACCATATGTCGATCGATCTACCCATGAACCATGAGGAAACCATCAGGACAACCATCTGGACAACCATCGGGACAACCATCGGGACAACCATGAGGACAACCAACAGGACAACCATCGGGACAGCCATCGGGGCAGCCATCAGGACAACCATCGGGGCAACCTTGGGGATAACCATCGGGACAACCATCGGGACAACCATCGGGACAACCATCGGGACAACGATCCGGGCAACCATCGGGACAACCCCAACCATCGGGACAACCGCCGGGCCAACCGCCAGGACAACTGAGGGCCACGCCCGGCGCACGGGGGGGCGGCCCTTTTGGCAATAGATGGCCTCTACTAGGGATGGAACTCGCGCAGCTTCGCCTCGCCCGCACGCACGACACAAACCGAAACCGAAACCGATTCCCCGGTTGGGGTCACTTCCGTTCTCACCCCCCAACCTCCGACTGCCCATTTGATCTGACATGTGACATGAGTGCCTGGGTTGAAACGGCAACCAAAACAGAACAGAACAGCTGTGGTCTTGAGGTACATACAATGCAACGCAACGCGACGCGCAATGCAAACGCAAGGCGAACGCAAAAGCGACGCGAAACAATGCAAACTCAAAGAACTACCAACACAACAGCAACGCGAAGTGCAACACAAAGACAATGCAACGGCAACGCAAAGACATTGCAACGGAAACAGAAAACGAAAAACGAATGTGAACTATCAAACGCGAACAAACAAGGTACACTGCAATGACACGGAATAAAGCGCGTCGCAATGAAACGCCATGCGATGAACAGACGCACACAGCATCTGAATCGCTATTAATGCGTAAGTTTAGCAAATCAGTGTGAACGCAATGCGTTGCAGAACCAATGCAAAAACGATGCAACAGCAACTACCAAGGAATTCAACAGGAAAGGGATGAGAAAAGGCTAAGCCAATGCAGGCCATAGATTCGTAAAGATTGCCCGTGGAGGCCCGAGGATTCCTAAAGATTCCTGGAAAGACCAAAAAGATTGCCGAAGGAATTCGAATCCGACCTACGGAATTCTATCAGAACCCTAAGAAGTCCTGTGGATTCCCCAGGAAGCACAAGGGCTCCTACGAATGTTCGAAAAGATGTTCACAGGATTGTCATTGGAATCGTAAGGACTCCTACGGACTCCTATGGATTGTCAATGGAATCGCAAGGACTCCTGCAAAATGTCCTACGGAATCCTAAGGAGTCCGTGGGAATCCGGAATCCTAAGGAGTCCGTGGGATTCCAGGAAGCGAACAGCTTCTACAAATCTGGTAAGGAATTTTGAGGACTTTCAAGGATGCCGGAAGATTCAACAGTTGTCCCAAAAGATCCTAAAGGCTCCAAGGGATTTCCGCGGAATCCATGAATCGTAAACATGTTTATGGGCTTCCAGATCATGACGATCCATACAGGCTGCCGAAGAAACCCCTTAGAATTCCCTAAGGAATCCCAAGAATTTCAGAGGGTGTCCCTGAGCCTAAAGACTCTGAAGGATGTCTGGGGGAATCCTAAGGGTTCTGGGATCTGGAGATTTCCCAAAGCGTCCTGAGGATCTCTAAAGATATTTCCGAAGGAAGCCCACGGGGCCCCAAGGATTTCCATCAGAATCCACGTTGGATCTCCTTGGAAATCCTAAACTCCGAAAGGAACCCTCAGGATCCCAACCATTTCCAAGGTTGTTGGGTTGGAAGTGATGTGAACTGTCTTGGGGTTGGGACCATTTGACTAGAGCCCGTCCCCTTCTCACGGGAGCCGCCCTCAGCTGAACTCCCATTCCGCCATGGGCTGAACTCGCACTCCCTCATGGGCCAAAAGCTGACATGCAGCGTGGCTTGGAGTCCAAACGCGCAGCATGCCGTAGGACGCTCCCAAGGGCCAGCGCACGAACCGTCTTGAGGGTCTCTTGGGCCGTCCTGCAAGTTCTCGGGGCCAGCCCAAGACGCCGAAACAGCCCAAAAACCCATAGCTGTGATTCGCCTCTCGACCTCAAGAGCGTCCTAAACAGCTCGAGGGCCCGCCAAGATCGCTCCTGGACGGCTCCCCAAGGGGCACACTGGGCCTCCAAGAGGGCCCCAAAGGACCCCTAAAATGAAGAAACGCGCCACCGCTGGACAGCCGAAAGCCTCCCCTCCAAGATGGAGCCCAGGCCCCCCAGAGTCCTCCGAGAGACCCCTAACAAGCCACCGCGAGACCTCCAGGAGGCCTCAAGAGCCCCCCGGCTCACCGAGACCCTGCACCTGGTCGACCAAACGCCACCAGAGCATTCAAACCTTGCAGTATTGTAGGAAGGCTGGAGAGCCCACAGAGAGGCCCCCAGCACACTCCAAGATGGCCCCTGGACGGCGCAAGGGGACCCCAAGAGAGCTTGCAGCTCAGTGGAGCCGATTTGGGTGATCATTGCTCCCCGGCCACTTGCAGACTTGGTGCTCGCGCTGTCAATGCTCTGCTCTCCTAGGGCTTTGCAGCGTCGTCCGCACCTTGCTTCTGCATGTCCGAGCTCCGTAGCTGCCTGCACGCCCTGCTGTGCTCAGCTGAATTATTGCTCTTAAGGGCACTGCGCAGGCCTGACTAAAGCTTGAGAGGTCCCGTCCAATGTGTGTTCCGCTTCCGCTTCCTTTTGGTATTGTGTACCCAGTCAAAGTGCCCTTCTCTTCCTGCGCGCCTGCTCTGCACCACCATGATGCTTCTCCTGCCCCCCACCCCTTCATCCCACGCCCCCCTCCATCCTCAACCTCATCCTCCTTCTCCTCCTCCTCTTCCTGCTCCTACTCCTCCTCCTCCTCATTCTCCTCCTCCTCCTCCTCATCCTCCTCCTCCTCCTCCTCGTACTCCTCCTCCTCCTCCTCCTCCTCCTCCTCCTCCTCCTCCTCCTCCTCCTCTCCTCCTCCTCCTCCTCCTCCTCCTCCTCCTCCTCCTCCTCCTCCTCCTCCATTCCTTCTCCTCATAAAAACTTGTCCTGTCGCACCCCGAGGCACGTTTTTAGGGCGAGCCGGACGTTTCGTATGAGACTTCCTCACCATGTATGACCCTGAAGCTTAAAACTTGGCGACAGCTTCACAGATAGAGGGCGGGTGGTTTTCAAAATGTAGCTCTCGCATTGGCGCCGCACACACTCGTTTTCAAAATGTGCAAAACCTTCACGGATTGAGGGCGGGTGGTTTTCAAAATGTGGCTCTCGCATGAGCGCCGCGCATATTCGTTTTCAAAATTTGCAAGAGCTTCACGGATTGAGGGCCACCCGTTTTCAATATGTGGCTCTCGCCTGAGCGCCGCGTACATTCGTTTTCAAAATGTGCAAGAGTGTCATGGGCGGGTCCTTTTCAAAATATGGCTCTCGCCCTAGCGCCGCGCACATTCGTTTTCAAAATTTGCAAGAGCTTCACGGATTGAGGGCAACCCGTTTTCAAAATGTGGCTCTAGCCTTAGCGCCGCGCACATTCGCTTTCAAACTGTGCAGCAAAAGTTTCACGGATTCACATGATCAGCATACCAAGATGGTGTTTTGGAGGGACTCAGGATTATAAGGGCGCAAAAGGTACGATGATTCGCAGTGTTGAAGTCTCAGGAATGGTTTCTGACACGATTCAAAATCGTCAAGACGCACCAGTCAAGTTGATCCGTGGCGTTGGAATCCCGAGAACCTTGTTTTGGCATGGTTCAGGGTCTTCAAACGGCTTTCTTCCAACGAGGCAGTTCCCTCAGTGGAAATGAACCCCTGTAGGGGCCTATGAAGAGGGAGCTTGGAGGGGAAATGTATTTCAACATCGTTGATGACTCGTGCGTTTCCGCTAATCCTCCTCCTCATCCTCCTCCTCCTCCTCCTCCTCCTCCTCCTCCTCCTCCTCCTCCTCCTCCTCCTCCTCCTCCTCCTCCTCCTCCTCCTCCTCGTGGAACTCCCCACTAAGGCACGGGCCGCGTGAGAGACGTCGGGCCCGCATGCGCACACACCTCGCAGGGCCGTAGGCAGAGCTCTGTGTGGGGGACGCCAATCCAATGCGGGGGGGCGGATCGAGTTGGGCGTGGGTTCCCCTCGGGGCCCACGTGTGGCGCTCCATGCACGGGCATGGTCCACCTGACGGGTGCCGAACTGGACGCGGGCCTGCATGCGCACACCCCCTCCACTGGGGTCGCAGGTGAAACTCACCGTGGAGCACGATCCGCGTAAGACAGACAGACAGACAGACAGACAGACAGACAGACAGACAGACAGACAGACAGACAGACAGACAGACAGACAGACAGACAGACAGACAGAAGTGCCATACGCCGAAGCGCGTGGGCGAGCGACAGCGCACGCCGATTGCCGCTTTGCGGGAATGGCGGCCTACCAACATTCTCTCTTGAACTGCCCAAGGCTAGTGTGCCGAAACGAGCACCCAACCGCGCAGAGGGCCGGGAACAGCACAGGAGGGTGACGGCTGATGGGCAGCAGCGACAGCAGCAGCAGGAGGGAGCGGGGGGAGGGAGCGGGGGGCAGGGATGGAGAGACGTGCGGCGCAGCGGAGAGAAAACGGGGGCCCAAGAGTAAACGAGTGCTGATAAACACAGGCATCTGCCATGCGTCTTGATATGAGACGTTACTTGCGGCCCCAGATTGCAGAGGAAAGCTTCAGAAAGTTGCCGACACGGCCCCAACATGGCACTGACCTGGAGCGTAGCCTAAACTCGAACTCCTCCCCGCTGCGGTGCTGCGCTGGCACGGTGGCGGGGCTTGCCGCAGGCAGCCAGATAACTCCGCGAAGAGGTCTTCCAGCCTGGCCTGGGCCTCGGCCTGCGAGGAGCGAGACTGCCCCAGCGCCTCCCGCATCTCCCGAACCTGGCGGCGGAGGCCCTCCTCAAAGGCCTCGAGCTCCTGCTGCTTCAGCTCTGCACCCCGGCGCCCCTGCTGCTCAGCGGCCACCTCTCATGGGACCACAGAGACATACTGGTACTATATGTCCTCCTTGGAGGCGCGCGTCCGACCCGAACATATAGTACACCCACCTTATAGTAAATCGTTTCCCGAGCGGTGTGGCTAGAAGGTGCCCGCCACGACGCATATACTACAAGAGTTCTCGGTGCACACCATGTCCTAGCATGTTGGGGTGACGCCGATCTCATCTCATCCTCAGAGCCACCCCAGCCCTGGCTGGTGCAGGGCAGGCCAGCTCTCCCAGCGTGATTAACCAGGGTAGGGATGGGAGTGAAGGCTGAAGGCTGCAAACAGGAAAGCGGATCCTGGTGTACACGGGATCCTGGTGCATACATGTTTCCATGTTTCTCATGGAAGCGGATTGCTTATCGATATATAGATATGTGTATGAATATATAAATATATTCATATATACATATACATATATATATATACTAGCAACAAAATATACACCACAGACAACACCCCCACGTCGTCCCCGACCCTCCGAAAGTCCTGGGATTCAAAAGCAGCCCGCCACTGGTGACGTGTTATGGCCGAGCGCACAGCGCCCAGCGCCCGGGCTCACGGCCTCTGTGCGCCACCGGGCCTGGACGCCGTCCTCCTCCTCCTCCTCCTCCTCCTCCTCCTCCTCCTCCTCCTCCTCCTCCTCCTCCTTTTCACCCTCCTCTTTCCGAGAGCGGCCGACTTTTATTCCTGCCTACGGGGTGGGTCAGTCGGGCAGCGGGGTGCCGGCGCTTCGCGGGGTGCCGGCGCGGGGATGGCTTCGGCTGCCGAGGACCTCGCCGTGGAGGTGCTCCAGCTCCACCTGCGCCCTGTGGAGCTCCGCCTCCTCTCGGCGGAGCGCGCGAGGGGAGGGGGGCCTGAGGAGGCAGCAGGCGGGTGGGGGCTCCCTGAGACTCCTCAGAGGCCCTCCCAGCCTCCGAGGAGGCTTCCTCGGAAGCCTCCTCAGAAGCCTCCTCTGAAGGCTCCCTGGAGGCCTTCGGGGGCCCTTCTGGAAAGCCCCCCAGGCCTCCTCAGAGGCCCGTCCGGCCTCCGAGAGAGGGCCTCTCAAGGGCCCCTCGAAGGCCCCCGGCTTCCAAGAGGCCGCCCCCCGCCCTCTCTCTCGGGACCCTGAGATCCGGCGCTGCAGAAGAATTGCAGCGTCAGGAAAAACAACGACCGCAGCCCCGAGCCCCATCCCCCTCTGCGTCATTTTTCGAGCCGGACCGATCTGAAAGGGGCTCGGGGCGCGAGGTGGAGCGACAACGCCCGTCGCGAAAAAAAAGTTGCAACGCCAGGGTCTCAGGGGAGGCCGCCCCCCGAAGCGCGGCGCCAGTGCCCGTCGCCCGTCCTCCGCCGTGCACATCGCCTCCATCACCCCGTGGCTGCGGCGGTCCTCTGCCATTGAAAGGGGCCCAGGGACTCACACACACACACACACACACAGACAAATCAGTAGGCACAACTCCCAGGATCCCCCCACATTTCCCGATAGACTTTCGTGCCGAGCTGTTCTCCGACCGCCGCGGGGCCCGAGCCCGAGCCCGAGCCCGAGCGGAGAGGACCCCCAGAGCTCGCAGGCGGCCAGCAGCCCGCGGGCCCGCGGCTCGCAGACGGCCGACAGAACCTCCGGGCCCGCCTCCCTCGGGGCCCGCGCCCGCTCCCTGGCGGGGTCCTCCTCGCCCTGCCGCTGCAGCGCCAGCAGCTGGGCGCTCAGCCCCGCCTCGCGCCCCAGCAGCTCCAGGCGCCGCGCCTCGAGCTCCTCCAGCCGCTGCTGCGCCCGCAGCAGCTCGGAGGCCAGCGCGCTCTGCCTCGCCTCGGCCTCCTCGTCGGGCGCTGCCGGGGCGTGAGCCCCCTGGCAGGAGCAGGGCCCCGTCGTGAAAAAGAAGCACGACGGCCGGCTCTGCGCCCTGCTCGGCCTCCAGGGGCCCCTGCCAGGCCCCGGGACCGGCAAAAGATGGCTCGGGATGGGCAGCTGGTCCCGGGGAATGGGCCCAGACCTGGCCCCGGCGTCCTCAGATGGAGGAACAAAATTAGCCTGGCGAAGGACCCAACCGTATGCAGGTGTGAGTCCCGCGGTTGTGGGTATCGTCTTCGGCGGCACTCCCTATGGACCACGACACGCTGTACTGAGAGGGGGGGGGACGCAAGCGATCTTTGCCACTGGCGCCTTCGGTAAAGCTCCCTATGAGGCCACGAAACGCTGTACTGCGCGGGAGAGACGCACGCGGAAAGTGCCACTGAGGCAGTCGGTGGAGTCCCCTAATAGGGCCACGAAAGGCTGCACTGGGGAGACGCTTGCCGGAGGAGCTCATTATGGGGTCACGACACGCTGTGCTGGGTGGGGGGGGACGCATGCGGACAGTGTCACTGAGGCCTTCGGTGGAGTTCCCTATAGGGCCACCAAACGCTGCGCTGTGTCGGGGAAACGCATGCAGACGGTGCCACTGGCGCCGCTGGTGGAGCGCCCCACGGGGCCACGAAACGCTGTTCTGGGTGGGGGACATGAATGCGGGCGGTAGCACTGGGGCCTCCGATGAAGCTCTCTATGGAGCCACGAAGCGCTGTACTGTGTGGGGGAAACGCATGCGGACGGTTCAACTGGCGCCGCTGGTGGAGCTCCCTATGGGGCCACGAAACGCTGTGCTGGGGGGGAGGGACGCACGCGGAAAGTGCCACTGAGGCCTTCGGTGGAAATCCCTATAGGGCCACGAAACGCTGTACTGGATGCGGGGACGCATGCGGGCGGGAGCACTGGGGCCTTCGGTGGAGCTTCCTACGGGGCCACGAAACGCTGTGGTGGGTGGGGGGGACACATGCGGGCGGTAGCGCTGAGACCGTGGGTGGAGC